ATATACTATATCTAATCTATATATATATGCGTTATCGGTTCGATAAATAAATGTGTATTTTATATAATACCGCGCGCGCCCGCGCGCCGTTATTATATGTATATAATATGTTATTTTTATCGATCGGTAACGGCTTTTTTTTATCAAAAAATTTTCCATGTTGTACGTTTACACAATTCTTCTATGGTAGCAGCACTCGTTCCATTTTTTTTTTTTTTAGAGGCTGGCTTCGACTACGTCAATGACTCTCTTTTAAACACCTGCGCTCTCGGTTATATGAAGCGCGGGTAAACGACGGGAGTAGATGTGCCTCTCTTAATAAAGGGCCGTAACGCGGTTGACAACGCCTCGGGCTGAGGCGCGGGTGCCGCATATCTGATTCTTTGTACGCCACGACTCGGTTCGCTGCACTGGGCGCGGGTAACGACGGGAGTAGATGTGCCTCTCTTAATAAGGGCCCGTAACGCGGTTGACAACGCCTCGCGCTCAGGCGGGTGCCGCATATCTGATTCTTTCATACGCCACGACTCGGTTCGCTGCACTGGGCGCGGGTAACGACGGGAGTAGATGTGCCTCTCTTAATAAAGAGCCGTAACGCGGTTGACACACGCCTCGGGCTGAGGCGCGGGTGCCGCATATCTGATTCTTCATACGACACGACTCGGTTCGCTGCACTGGGCGCGGGTAAACGACGGGAGTAGATGTGCTCTCTAATAAAGGGCCGCCGTAACGCGGGTGACAAAAGCCTCGGGCTGAGGCGCGGGTGCCGCATATATGATTCTTTCATACGCACGACTCGGTTTCGCTGCACTGGGGCGCGGGTAAACGACGGAGTAGATGTGCCTCTCTTAATAAAGAGCCGTAACGCGGTTGACAACGCCTCGGGCTGAGGCGCGGGTGCCGCATATCTGATTCTTTCATACGCCACGACTCGGTTCGCTGCACTGGGCGCGGGTAAACGACGGGAGTAGATGTGCCTCTCTTAATAAGGGCCGTAACGCGGTTGACAACAACGCCTCGGGCTGAGGCGCGGGTGCCGCATATCTGATTCTTTCATACGCCACGACTCGGTTCGCTGCACTGGGCGCGGGTAAACGACGGGAGTAGATGTGCCTCTCTTAATAAAGAGCCGTAACGCGGTTGACAACGCCTCGGGCTGAGGCGCGGGTGCCGCATATCTGATTCTTTCATACGCCACGACTCGGTTCGCTGCACTGGGCGCGGGTAAACGACGGGAGTAGATGTGCCTCTCTTAATAAGGGCCGTAACGCGGTTGACAACAACGCCTCGGGCTGAGGCGCGGGTGCCGCATATCTGATTCTTTGATACGCCACGACTCGGTTCGCTGCACTGGGCGCGGGTAAACGACGGGAGTAGATGTGCCTCTCTTAATAACGGGTGTGACGCGATAGAGCGCGCCTCGGTGAGCGACGCGGATGCGGCATATACGGGATGTCCGCGAAGTTGGGGTTTTCCTTTTCAGAAACAACTACCCTTGAAATAACAAAGGTAATGTGTAGTGAAACGACAACGACCGAGTAAATAAAAAAATATTGGTGAAATTACTCTCTCTCCAGTTGACCAGAAGGGCTAAGTACGTCTCTGCCAGAAATCATACCGCTCCAACAGAAAATGAAATCAGCTGATGCGCTACCGAGCAGACGTAGGCTAACAAGGAAGGTAAAATGTTGCGTAAATAGTCTAGGTATTGCATCCCGTCCAATCGATTTGGGAGAATAAATTGTCCAATGAGCATACCGTTCACCATGCCAGCCCTATCATTCACCGAAAATGTTTGTTGAAAATGTGCCCGACGCGTGAACATAGATTCGTCTGTCACACGAATATGCACTTCAAAGAGTCCGGATTATTGTCATGTTGATGCAACAACTACTCACAAAACCGCACTCTTGCTGGAAAATCGTCAGGTTGAAGGGCTTGTACACGTTAGACGTGAAACGGATACAGCCCCTCTTC